GAATTTGATGTAGCCGCCCCGTTAGTATGCGCACCAGAACAAGGCTGTGTGATGTGCCTGCATGACCTGTCGCTCTCGCGGCCATCTTTACCAAAGTGCGAGAAGCCTTGCCCTGAGCACCAGCATGTGCCACATCTGTGAGCTTCAGCCGTGCTTGAATCTCCCTGCGAACGTGTGGCACATGCCCGTGGCACAGGACAACATAGTCGCGCAAGAGGCGGCCGCATACCAGCTGAAGCTGTAAATCGTAGAAGGCTGCGTATGTTGCCGCCGACAAGATCAAACCTGAACTGGGAACGTCCAAGCGGTGCAGAAATCCGAAGGCGTGATCTCGGTCCTCATGGATTGGCAGCTCTCCCAGCACCGCCTGAACATGCGGCAGCATTTGCAGCTTCGTGTCACCATAGACTTCCCAACCCGCCGGTTTCGCGGTAACTAAGCAATCTGATAGCGTGAGAAGGACAAGTGGAGACTTAAGAGAGCGGCTGACAGAGGTCCACGGCTGAACTCGCTCTGCGAACTTAGCCTCCTGCCTGTCTGGCGAGCTGACTTCATCCAAGAAAATTGCGAGCCCATTGAAGAATTGTCTGAAGCTAGTGAAATCACGCTTACTGGTAGGCACTGCAAAGTTCAGGGCCCACAGCATGCCCACAAACTGCTGTAGAACTGCTTGTGGGCCAGTTCCTTCATGTCGCTCGATGGCGGCTGCCCGCCTGTGAACTTCTTTTCGAAGAGTACACAGGAAGTGCGTTCCAGCATCGGTGGTGCATGCCCCCATGGCAACTGCGACCATCTCTTCAAGCGTGAATTGCCTCAACAAGCGGGCCCCGTCACGTTCCAGATGTATGAGCAGGGTGGGGTGGTGGAGGCCCAGCGAAGCAGTGGTCCACCACAGTTTGGAGACTTCTGCAGTTGTCATCTTCCGTGTGTTGACTTGCTGCAACACCTCTACAAAGCAGGATTTCAAGTCTGTTAGCATGACCATCTCCGCCATTGCCCAGAACCGCAGGATGCACGAAACATACCTGGCACCAATGACAATGCGTTTCCCAATCTCATCCCGGCCAGAGTGCTTGCAGGAATCAATTGCCGTTGGAAAAGCAACATCAAGTTCCAGATTTAGCAGTTCCATGTGCTGGTAGCAGGCCACAGCTCGCTGCCAATGGTCACTGTAAGTGGCGATCATGGAGTTGTATGAAACCGCATCCGCTTCGAAACCAGCAGAAATCATGCTGCTCACAGCATTCAGAGCTGCAGGCCAGATAAGTCCTTTGTTTGCTATGAATGTGTTCCACACGACTGTGTCACACTGAACAATCCTCGCACAATCATCCAGCAATGCCCTTGCCAGCAGCCACTTTCCTTGCGATCGACAAGAGGTCAAGGCACTGCTGTAGAGAAATGAATCTGTTGCAACTTGTTTTGACCCAACGTGGCGAAGCAAGGCAATGACCTTGCGCCATCCAGCTTGCCTGAATGATTCGCAGAGCATGCCGTTAATTTTCAGGTCGGGCTCTCCAGAAGCTTCGCGAAACCGAGCGAGTACAAGCACAAGAGCAGACCAAGTGACCTTGCTGGCGGATGTTTGGATATACCGATACCAGAATGTAGTCCCAGACTTGTCAGACTTCAGACGGCCACTCATGCGATCTACAGCGAGCTGCCAGCATTGGTCTGCACGACTGGAGATGAGCGGCTCACAAAACCCGGAATCTGGCTGCAGGGTCTCGTCCACGATGCTTTCGTAAACAGAAGCTGCCTCCCTCCAGAGTGCTGCGGTCGCACAAGATGATACCAAAGAATGACACAAAAATTGGCTGCTTGAGACACCCTGTCGGAGCATGAAATCGTAGGAGGCAGAAGCCTTTTCCCAGCTCAAACTGGCGGTGATGGAAGGCAGATCAGTAGCAATTGAGCTTTGCTCAGGCCTGAGCATGGCAAGGGCTGATTGAGCAAACTGCAATGAAACACGAACGAGACGGGGTATCAGAGCGACCAGCCTAGGAGGCATCTGCAATTTTGCGGCAAGGGGCCGCATGCAGAATGATGTCGGAAAGTGCAGGAGCGGAAGCGGACTCGGGGCGCTAAAGATTCGAATGCGAAAATGCTTACTGAACCGAACAACGTCGAGTCGTCCGAGCGGGCACCTTGTGTTGCATATGTTTTGCAAGTACCAGGGTGAATCGGTCCAGCAGCACGTCGCATAATGCAAGTTCTAGGCCCCAAGCAAACCGTCCGCTAAGCATACCAAGCGGGTAAGCAAATCCCAAACAGCACAAAAGCAAATATCAAAGGAATGTTTGGCAGGCAAGCCTAAGAGCTCAAGCAGGTTCAGATTTGGAAGCCACAAGCGGCCTCGCCAGGCCTTCGTGCTTTAATAACAACAAAATCTTTTCAGAGAGCATCCGGTTTTCAACCTTTTGCCACGTACCGCCCACGCACTTGAATGCTATTTCTGCCCGGAAGAGGGTAGACAGCGCGCTGCAGGGTTGAAGGCAAGTCCCACACCGATAGGGGAATGAAACTAATATATTCACAGCGAAACCGCGTGTTGCACACAGATATGGGCCATATGTGAAGACAAGCCGCCTGGTCGCCAGAAAAAGGGCATGGAGCCAGGACAAGCATCTTGCAACTGAACTGGCCACGATTGTCTTGGATGCTGAATCTGGCACCACGGCATGTTCCTGAGCTGCACTCTCAATTGCCAAACCTTAGCAGGTGTTACTTCGACATTCGGAAACGTGCGTGGCATCAAGCACCTCAAAGTGTAAAGTGTAAAAGCAAATGGGTGGTCGAGACAGCCACGAGACTTCTGAGGTTCATATTGCAAGAGACGTTCGCCAACTTCTTCACCCATGTGTGGACAAATAATACTGCTGACGCGCTTGAAACTTGGCAGGAACGAGTGCTGCCATTAATCCAAACTCCAGTTCCATAATTAAACTTTCTGCACAGACGCTTAGCCAAACGAGGCTACATGAAGTACTCCCATCACAAAGCTGTTGAACCTCAGACGCTCGCAAACGCTTCAACGACTGGACCATACTGACCACACCATCATCCTGCTGACTTGTTGGTGAAAACAACTAGGAGACTTAGCCTGAAATCCCAAAGCTTAGTATGTAGGGTGCTGCTTGCTGAAGCGGCCCTTTCTTTTTTTGCGAATCGCTGCTGGAAATCCTTCGGAATGTTTCCCGAATCCGCCACCTGGTCTTGGGACTCTTCTGAAGCCCCAGCTTGCTTTCGGAACCGGGCTACTCTCTCCATGACAACTTCAGATCTCCCAAAAAGCAGGAGCGGCCCAGGGACCACTCGGATGCAGCCAAGCGTCAGCCAGTGCTTGATACGTTAGGAGGGCGGGCTGCCACAGAGACGAGGTGCGGAAAGCCCCGACTGCCGAATTGTAGCTAATGGCGTCTCGTCGTAGACAATCGTGTGGTGAGTGCAAGAGACACTGTGCAACCTGCCATTGATTACTTCGCTGGCATGCACTGATGCCACGATTGCACGAACTTATCCGTGCCGGCAGAGAAATGCGAGCCAACTCGGCTCTCAGAAAAAGAACCAGCTGCCATGAAGATGGCATCGACTCTTCCCAGCAAAGAGCGTCAGTCTGCAGTTTGCACCGCAAAGCATCGCCAAGCAGGGTAATAGAGCTGACCCACTTTCCTTTCTTTTCGCATGCGGAAATTGCAGTGCTGAAGTCAATGATATCCAAAGACACCTGCAGAAATAATGCACTATCCACCAGAGCCAAAGGCATTGCCCAGCTGACGCTTTTGGCACATGCAGTTTTGCAACTGGAAAAACTGATTTGGTCAATGCCATGTAGTCTGCTGAACATCTGCAGCACCTTCGACCAAAGCCCAGATTGTGACAATGAATTCATGGCAGCTTTCGTGGCAATGTCATCCACACAGATTCGAAGCGTCGACATATCTTCAAATTTCTGCAAGGCCACATGCCAGTCGACACAAGCTTGAATTCCGGCAGTGTAACTCTGCGAGTCAGGAGCATTCTGGTCATTGGAAGATCTTCGCAGAAGGCTCCCAGCACGTTCCCACAGCATCTGGCGCACACATGAAGTAGTTGCCTGACCCAGCACGACATCGCTGACCCTCATGGACGTAGTGTCCAACGTCTCAATCATACGCAGCGCTGTATGCCAGCTTTTGCATGCCCCTAAAACGGTCCCAAAACAAACAGTGTCTGGCTCGAGTTCCATACGGAGACGCCTCAGCAAAGCAACAGCATCTGCCCAGCGGAAGGAGTACTTGAGACTGCGAATGCTCTTGGTGTAAGTGATTAGGTTTGGACGAGCCAGCAGACTTCCTGCAACTTGCAGCAAGCCCACGGCACTTCGCCATGCTGCCTTGCGGGCGTGTTCCTTCAGTGTGTTCACTAAGGAAACATCCCTTGTCGGCAACATGCGCACAGCTCCACCTCCCCAGAACCGCAGTCAGAAGGCTGCACAAGCTCCATGTATGCCACTGCCACATGCACTTCCAGCTCGAGCCGTGCTGCGGACAAGGATGAGACGAGTGACAAGCAAGCATGCACATGCTGCCAGAATTGGCTTAGTGCTGTTGTCTGTAGGTCAATTGAAGTTTCTGGATTCAGAATTCTTGAATGGCCATGCGCGACACACAGCTTCAATGAACACTGTCCGGTCGGCTGGCTCCCTTCTTGATGCATTCTTTCTGCAAGCAATGACAAAAAGGATGGTTGCGGAGGGCACAGCTGCTGGCTTTGCCAATCAATGCATGCCGAGTCTTGGACATCAGACAAACGGGCCACTGCACGGTGCTGGCACTCATGTCCACACTTGGCTGATGTATGGCCGTTGCCTTGCCGGTGCAGGGGTAGCTTCAGCCCGTGATACTCTGCTAGACTATCCTGCTGCTGTCGCGGTCCGGGACGAATCAAGCAGATCTCCATGCAAAGCTCGGTTGCTTGCAACTGTGGCGTGTCTTCGAGCGTGGCTACCTGCTCTGGTGTTACTCCAAAGCCGAGGCGGCAGCCTGACCAAGACGCTCTCCGATCATCTCCCTCAACGCTGGAACAATGTGTGCCAACCAAACATCAGTTCTAGCATCCACGATCTGAAAATGATCTGCACCTGCAATCTCTAACACTGAAACTAATGCCGGCGCTGAAGACTTAGCATCTTTGGCATATGTTCTCACTAAGTCTGGCGGCACGTCAGTGTCGCTGTCCCCATACACCAGGCACAGTGGAAAAGTCACGGGAAGAAGCGCAGAAGGCGAGGCTTTCCGATATTCTTCAAGGCCAGATCCTGTTGGAGCTTGCTTCATGTAGCGTTCCACGGCATCTCCTTCATCTGAAACTTTGAGCTCGTATCCACGTATCAGATCTGCTACAGGTGCAGCGGCAACCACAATGGACTGAAGGCCACGAGCTGCCAGCTGATGCGCCGCCCACAGCGCCAAGCATCCACCAGCAGAGTGTCCAAGAAGAATCAATCTTTCAGAGCGCAAAGATCGCAGCGCAGCTGCTTTCTTATCGGAGTCAGAAGATCTCTGAGCTTCGCTGCTCAAGCGACACAGGAAGTCTATAGCCATCAATACATCCTCGTTCGTTCCAGGCCATCCTCCGCCTGCATGGTCTCGTCTCCTGTACTCGACTTCCACAACTGAAAAACCCCGTGACCAGAAAAATGATCCCAATGACTTCGTGCCAGCATTGCCATATTCATCGTCCAATCCGAACTTGTTTTTCCAATAGCCCCCGTGCAGCACGATGACCGTGCCATGAACGTCGCCTGGTGTTCGTGGTGCTTCATGTACGCGAACAAACTGGGTTTTTGGAGATGCCGATTCAGCATATGGAAGGTCCCACCATTCCGGTGTGTCCATGTCACAAGCCCCCGGGCAGCTAGCAACCGGATGCTGAGCTGTTGGGTGCGCACACAACAAGCAGATTGCACATCAGGTGAGGCTGGATATTCCGTTTAGGTTTCACGATGAGAGTTCGGTGCTGGGTATTTGCACGAACAGTTCTCTACGTCTCGCACATTTGAAGGCGTGGCAGGAGCAAGCAAAAAGGCTTGGTCATGTTGTGGCTGTGAGCGCACTAGTCCACGAGATCCAGGACAGTGCAGTGCAGTGTTCCCCTCTCAAGCAGTATTAACTCATGGCAAGCCGACGCCCACACCAGAGTCAGTCAATCCTAGTGGTGAAAGGCTGCTGGACTGACGGGCAAGCTTGAGTAAAGATAAAAACACACGAAACGCATTTCAATGGGTACCATGGTTTGACTGTTGCTAGACCACTCCTGCCGGCACAAGCAAGGTCTTCCCTGCTCCGTGGCTAAAGTTCCATAAAAATTATCCAACAGCACGTTGGATCAAGGAGAGAACCGCGCAATTTATTCAACTTCACGTGTGGAGTCAACAGCATCCCCAGCATCTACTCGATAGCTTCGCCCGTACCTGTCAAGAGTGGTAATGCAGAACTTGGGGACAATGACGAACTCCAGCTTGAAAGACTACCCCTCAAGAACAGCAGCTAAATGTGGGTAGGCACGGGAAGCAAAGCACTTGCCGGTAGTTCTCCATGCAGGTGATGTCGAACGGGTTCCTGCGAATATGCGACCAGCCGTCTTTCCATTACAGCCCGATGGTGTTTACAGGTGGCCTCTCCATGTAATAGTCTCGAACCTTCGGCTTCTCATCTTCGGATGTCAGACTCACCAGCTCCCATTCAACACAACATTGCATTCAAGATGCATGTTCATTCGTCGTCAAATTGCACGCCATGATGATGAGATGGTACCTGGCTGATGCTAAAACCGAAGCAATCTTAACCGCTGACACGGAAGGGGCACAGCAGAAGTATGCTGAATGCCAAGCACATCACGAGGGCGTAGGCCGCGTACAAGAACTGAGAGAACTCTGTATACAAAATCAACAAAGTCACGGACTGCCGAAAACATGCCTCTGTATCCATGCCACAACAAGACAGCTCTCGCAAGAAGCAAGAGCCGCTGAGAAAATCCTTGTACAATAAGCTTTCGAGAAAAACATCGTCATGAAACCGGTTGATGTCAACTCTTGATTTTGTAACACTTTCTTTGTTCTGGGTTTGCAGAAGAACGCTTGATGAGAACCGTCTTCTAAGTCTTCTACCTTCTCTTACCCGCGGCTGTTGCGTCTAGGGTCCTGCGTTTCCTTCCCCGCTCTCATTGGAACACCGATGAGCGCTTCTCACATTGCGAATGCTATCCGTTCTTCTTCGCTTCCAAGACATCGGTTGACTGTTGGTCGAAACAGCGGTCTTACTCTCAAGGAGTGTTGACGAGACGGATGCAGGTCAGCCGAGTATCTCTGCTGAAACCGATTCCAAGGCTCCGCTGGAACCCACCCTGTTCATCGACGGCTTCTCCGCACGGGCTTTCTGTTGACTGAGGCGTGGATACCGAAGCCCCAGAGCGGCAGTCACGCTGGAGACACCTGAGCCTGAACTCGGCCGAACTCCAGTGCGATGACAAAACTAGGTGCTGTTTACACTTTACATGGTGGGCTTTGTCCCCACGGGTCGCAGTGGCAGCTGACCGTGCTGCTGGGCAGCTGGTGAAGTTGATTGTAAGCAAGACACACATGCACATACATGCACTCTTGAGCCAAGGCACCTTTCCTCCGTTGGCAACAAGCAGCCTCCGGATAACCTTGCCAAGAATGGTCCGTTCGGATGATCTGACTATGGTGCAAGTGCACAGCAACACATAAGCTCGAAGCACTTGTTTCGCTCGCCTCCAAAGTCTTGAAAAAGCTCGAGTGGCATGCAGATGCAAAGATGCAAAGAGTAAAGACGAAGGCTCCTCGCGACGAAGACATTGCCGTGCAACCTCCGAGGGCAGCGAATCGCGACGCTGCGCGCTGCAGGTCATACTCTCATTCAAGCCAAGCAGAGCCAATCAGGTCAGACAAAACTCTCAGAGACCTGCCTGCGACTTTTGTCCATGCGTCCAACAAACCAACACTAATGCGAGGTGATGCAACCCCACGCTCGCTTTCCTCCTAGCCTTCGCACAAGTGTTGGGGAGCCTTTACTTTGGTCTTCCCTTGCGGCTTGAATGCTGAGCAAACACAACCCCAGAAGTAGTGTGAATCCCGCTTTTTCTCCGGGAAGCGATGAGGATTGATGATGCCTCTTCCCTCCTAGCCTTCGACATCGTTCGACACTCTGTTTGATACTGCTGTGCTAAGCCGTCCTTGGCATCCTGGAAAGACGCAATGTCTGCTGTGGTTGACCTTTGACTCTGCTATCCATCAGACGCTTGCATGCCCAAACCTTCGATTCTGCACAGAACTCGGACACAGAGATAACAGATGAGACCATGGGAGTGGCATCCCACCGATGGCTGCTGCCTTGAATGTGATCACGGAGGAGTGCCCGAAGAACAACGTCGCAGTCTTAGCCCATGCTGTCTCCAAAGTGTCAATCTGGTTGTCACACGGGTGCTCTGGGCAACGGACAACGACGAGGAGCAGGAAAGATCCTTACACACGTCGAAGAACTGCTTCGGGCAAGGGCAAAAGCGAAATCAGCATTTGCCGAGGTGCTGTAGTTACCCAATCCCACACAATTTCCTGCATTGACAAATTTCAAAAATCTTGAGCTACAAACAGTTGATGGCAAAGTGCCTAACCACGTGCAATGATGATCGAATCGAAAGACCTTGGCTGGCTCTTGACTGCGTGTGCTCCAACTGAAACTCTTTCGTTCTCATTCTCACATGCAAGCGCTCAGCAAAGTGCATCGGCTTGATCTCCCTCTCTTTCTGTCTGCGAGTTGGAGAGCCGTGAGTTCTCTACTCCTGCTGTCCGAGGACGCTCTCGCCACTTCAAGCGAGTTATGCACTCTTTCGCACACGTAGGGGTACAGTCTCGGTTGCTCGTTAGCGCCGATTGCCTTGAGAACTGAAATATACTTCGGAGATCTAAAACACACGCCTAGAATATTGGGGTTTATGGCGGAGTCTTCTCATCTGATTCTAGCCTGGCAGCAAGGTTGTCCGTTACATTAAAGTTGTGCATTTATCCACCCACATCAACGGGCTGGGATGTGTCGATTGTATCTGAGAAACTGTCGGTATGGAGACAGATGCGTTATTGATATCACTGTGACAGGGACTTTGGTCGGAAACGGAGCAATCAATGCGATTAGCTGCCTCAACGAGGCAGGATTCTGAGATCGACCGGCTCGATTGGGAGCACTTGCATGCCGATGGGCATGTGAACACATAAGCAGGCTCTTTGCTCCAATCATTAGGATGCTGGAAAAGTCCAATCCAATCTTTGTCAGTATAGTTGTGAGGGGGTTGGAACTATTTTCGAGGAGAAGGCCCGCCAAGCATTCAGTGGAGCAATCCGCAACTGAGGAGTCAAGGACCCTATGGTAACATTTTTTTTGCAAGCGCAGGGTCCGAAAAGGTCCCGTTTGCACCGACCGTGTCAAGTGCGCTTGTGTGGTTTACGGCTTGGCTTGTGAACTACAGAAACCCAAAGTGCTCTATTTCTGGCAACATTCGAGACTTGGCGATACAAGGGAGTGTTGCCCATCCATACCAGAGAATGAGAAGAGTGTTCTTGCCGAATGTCGGCTGCTGTCGGGATGGCGAAAAAACCATGCTCTATAAAGGAGTGTGGTGGGGCTGCATCGGACTGTAAATATGAAATACGGCGGGAGGCTTCTACCAAGCATGATTCGGCCCAGTGTGTTTTGGGCCGACCTACCCTATTAGGGCCTATTGTATGGCGGTAGGCTGCTGAGGGCATAAACGTAGACTGGAATTCAAGAGAGTCTGGGTGCCGATATAGGTGTCCTAAGAGGTTCAAGCGATTCTGCGAATACTGTTGAGAAGGAGTGATAACACGCCTGGAGGAGAAGGCCAGCTCTGCAAGATACTGGTCGGAACATGGAGCCGAGGACGGGTTGATAACCCTATGGTAATAAGAAGATTTGATCTTAAAGATCCTGCGCAAACACTTGTAATGAATAGAGTCCAGCTTGGTGAGTTGAGGGGGAGTAAATAGAAGGTTGTCCATCGCATACATAAAAATAGACTGTACAACTGAGCGATAGACCAAGAGCTTCCAAGTAGGGGGAAGATGGCCATGTTTCACAAGCGGAGCGAGCTTCTTGGAAGCTTGCATTGCTCTTGATATTCGGGTGGAGATGTTTTTGTGATTTGTGGATCGCGGGTCCAAATATACGCCGAGGTACTTAACCGCGTCGGAGAGTGGGACTTGTAAGTCCTCAACTGGGGCAAGGAGATAGTTCGGGTCAAATAAGATGCGATGGGCGGAGTTAACGGAGAGGTGATCACACTTATCATAATTGAAATACAGGCCACGTCGGGCTCCTTCTTTCTGTACCAAGTGAAGGAAGATTTGTGCTTGGGAAAAGGAGTTAGATAAGAGGACCGTGTCGTCTGCATATTCCAAATCCCATAATGTGGCGCCCAGGCGCAGGACGCCACAGATAGTTCCATGCTCGGCCGTATACTGTCTTTCGACATCCTCAAAAAGGTGAGTGAGGACAAAGCCGAATAAGTAAGGGAAGAGGGGGGGCAACCCTGACGGAGCCCCCTTGTTTGCGTGCTTCGTTCGGAGCGCTGGTTACTGTCACGAACAATGAAGGTGGGATTATTGTTTAATGAGGAAATGGCCTGCCGAAATGGAGCCGGTACGCCCATGTACAGAAGAGAGGCCTGTATGGCGGAGAATGTAACAGAATCAAAGGCCTTGGCCCAATCAAGGAAAATGGCGTGAAATGGTTCTGTCTGCCTTTCATGAACCTCCAGAAGGCGGCGCAAAATATGTATAGGCTGGGTAACTGAGCGGCCGGAACGA